CTTAAGGGGCCAAAATCAAGGTATCAGCAGGCAGCACTCTCCGGGGAGATCCTAGGGGTGCAGTGTGACCCTCATCCCGTGTGGTTCAGGGTCCTGGCTCTGGAAGAGGGGCTGCACGCAAATGAAAGAGATGAGACAAGAAACAATAATTCGGCAGAAACCAGTTCCTCTTCCTCTCTGTAAAAAATCAATAAAATAGCCGAAACCGGTTTGGCTCAGTAGATAGAGCATCGGCCTGTGGACTGAAGGGTCCCAAGTTCGATTCCGGTCAGGGGCATGTACATTTGTTGCGGGCACATCACCGGTAGGGGGTGTGCAAGAGGCAGCTGGTCAATGTTTCTCTCTCATCGATGTTTCTAGCTCTCTATCTCTCTCCCTACCTCTCTGTAAAAAATCAATAAAATATATATATATTTTTAAAAATCAATAAAATATATTTGAAAAAAAAGAAAAGAAAGAAAGAAAAGAATGAAGGGTCTTGCATTTGATTCCAGTCAAGGGCAAATACCTTTGGTTGCAAGCTCAATCCCCAGCCCCAGTCTGGGCACATCCAGGAGGCAGCCAACCGATGTGCCTCTCACACATCAATGTTTCTGTGTGTGTGTGTGTGTGTGTGTGTGTGTGTGTGTGTGTCCTCCCTTCCAACTCTCTAAAAATCAATGGGAAAATGTCCTCGGGTGAGGATTAACACACACACACACACACACACACACACACACACACTCCTTGACTTAATCACTTGCACAAAAGGCCCTTGTTTCACTCAGGTAACACTCACAGCTGCCGGCACTTGGGACCGGGATGTCATGGAGTGCACCAGTCAGCTCACCTCACCCTCTGAGCCCCGGTGTCGTCATCGGGAAGCAGGAGGGAGGACTCACCAGGTTCTTTAGATAAAGCACTCAGAGCCGTGCCCAGCCCGGCACAGGCACTCAGTCAGAGGGGTGGGGAGAGCCTCTGTTTCTCTCTCTGGAAAATGGGGGCAGAGAAGTGTGGACTCCAGGGGGTTCCCAGCTCCTTCACTCCATGGGGTGATTCCTCTCTGACACCCCAGTTTTAGCAGCGAAAAAGCAAGGTGCTGGGGAGGAAAGGGCCACAGCAGACCCCCAGCACCAGCCCCGGCCAGAGGCAGGAGGTGAGGGGGTCCCGGCGTGCACAGGGTCTGCCTCTCAGTATCTCCCCTTTTCTCTCTCTGCAGACACTGGGTGTTATTCTCTCTGACTCCCTCTGTCAGTCTCTGTCCCCGTCTCTGTCTCTGTCCTTGTCTCTCGTTTGCTGTTTTGTCATCTGTCCCCCTTCCTCTCTAAGTTCCCCTGAGTTAGTCTGTCTGTGGCCTCTCTCTCTGCTCTCCCCACCCCATCTCTAGCTCTCTCTCTCTCTCTCTCTCTCTCTCTCTCACTGTCTCTCCCGCTCTGCATGTCTGTCTCTCTCCCCCTCTCTCTCCCCAGGGGACTCTCCTCTCCTCCGCCCGCCGGGAAGTCCCCGAAACCTGTGGCCTCTCCCGGGATGGCAGGCAGGTGAGTCACAGGAGGAAGGCATTCCTGCCGATTTTCTGGGATTGTGCATGGCCAGGCCCCCTGCCTGCCCCTCCCCTAATTCATCCCCGGACCTCACACATCACCGGTGTGTGTCACTCAAGGCAGAGACAGAACGAGTCAGAGACAGACAAACAGAAAGAGAGAAAACAGATACAGTGACACAGAGAGTCAGTTCTAGAGACAGAGACGAAGGAAAAGAATGAAACAGAGAGACAGCAAAAGACAGAGACAGAGACAGAAAGAGACAGGGAAGAAGAGAGACAGACAGAGTGTTGGGGAGGCCAGAGCAGTCTGAGGAGGCGATGGGTGGGGTTCGAGATAACTCCCCCACTCCTCACACAGAAGAGGAAATTGTGTCAGGGAGGGCTGAGGTCACCCAGCTGGGAACTGTAACCCCAGACCGCACAGTTTCCTGTGGCACCCACCCCTGAGACCCCCCCACCCTCCCCAGACCCACGTCTCAGCCCGAAAAAGCAAGGCTCCGAGGAGTGGAGCCGCCTGCCCATGGTCACCCAGGAGTGAATGGCGGAGCTGGGTCCCAAGCCCTCCTGGGCCGGCACCCCAACTGCCTACATCCCCAGCACTTTCATATCTCATTCACTCTCAGGCAAACCCCAGAGGGGCCCCGATTCCACCCGAGGAAACGGAGGCTCAGAAAGGAGGCTCTGCTGAAACTGGTTTGGCTCAGTGGATAGAGCATCAGCCTGCGGATTGAAAGGTCCCAGGTTTGATTCCAGTCAAGATCATGTACCTTGGTTGTGGGCACATCCCAAGTGGAGGAGGTAGCTGATCGATGTCTCTCTCATCGATGTTTCTGACTCTCTATCCCTCTACCTTCCTCACTGTAAAAAAATCAATAAAATATTTTTTTTAAATACAGCTTAGGACTGCTTTTGAAAAGAAAAAAGAAAAGAAAAGACAGGAGGCTCTCTGTTGGTACCTGCAGGGAGTGGTCAGCATGAGGACCCTGAGGTCACCACCGCCCTCCCCACCTCATAAACAGGAAGCGGGGGCCAGAGGCTGGCGTTGGGTGCTGGGTGCGAGAATACTAATGACAGTTACAGTTTCCCATTGAGCACCTACTATGCCCCAGGCTCTGTGGCCAGCACCTCGGTTGCGTTCTTTTACGCCCCTAGCACACCAGCCCTGAGAGGGGGGCCCTTGTTATCTTGCCTTCCCAGATGAAGAGCATGAGGCACAGAGAGGTTAAGTAACCTGCCCAGGGCCACACAGCTCCTGAGTATCTCGCTGGAATTTGAACCCTCGCAGTCTGGTGCCAGCCCCCACACACTCCCACCCACCCCCCTTTTTTTTAAAATATGTTTTTATTGATTTCAGAGAGAGGAAGGGAGAAGAGAGAAATTAAAATATCAATGGAGAGAATCGTTGATTGGCTGCCTCCTGCACGCCCCCTACTGGGGATTGAGCCTGCAACCCCAGCATGTGCCCAGACTGCAAACTGAACCGTGACCTTTTGGTTCGTGGGTCAATGCCCAACCGCTGAGCAACACTGGCCAGGCAGAGTCCCCACACTCTTCATCACTAGGGCAGACTGCCTCCTTAGAAGGGAAGGCTTCTTTGGTGATTTATCTTTAAATCACCAGCTCAAGGCTTCAACGAATAAGAACAACAATAGGCTGGTGCCATTTGGGGGCTCAGCCCATCCTGTATCCAGATGACCTAATGGATGTATAATCCCTTAAAAAAATAATAATAATAACAGTGTCATCACTGCGTAGTGGCAGAGGTAGAGGTACGTAAGCAGTGCCTATTACTTTCTCCCTTCCCACGCCTGTTCCGGCTGCACTGCCAGATCCTCAGGCAGCTGCTGCCTCAGACTTCCATCCGCTAGTTCCTCCCCCTGAACTCTTCCCAGACCAATTGCCCCACTTCCTCCCACACCCGTTCAGCAGCCTCTGCTCAAACACCACCTGCTCCGGGGAGCCCTCCTGGATCACACCACTTAGACCGACCAACCTCCCTTGTCCCTGGCACCTGCTTCCCCTGGCTTGTTCCCCCCGTTGTACTCACCGCTGCCTGACAGCCACCGATTAGATAACACAAATCCGTGCCCCAGCGCCTCTGAGGCTCGGACTTTGCTTTGTTTGCTGCCACGACCCAGTCCTGGACCAGAGCCTAGAAATTAGTCAATATTGAAGGGATTTGTCAGAGTCCTCCAAGTGGGTGAGCAACTGTTCAAAGATCTCACCTGCATTCTATTGCTCTGATTGGTCAGAAGCATCCTAACCCAGAGGGACGATTTTATCTTTTACATTTTATTTTATTATTATTTTTTTTTTAAATGTATTGTCCTGGCCAGGTAGCAGCTCAGTGGATGAGAGCACCGTCCTGATATGCCAGGGTTGTAGGTCCGATCCCCGGTCAGGACACATACAAGAATCAATCAATCACCAAAACCCGTTTGGCTCAGTGGATAGAGCGTTGGCCTGCGGACTGAAAGGTCCCAGGTTCAATTCCGGTCAAGGGCATGTACCTTGGTTGTGGGCACATCCCCGGTAGGGGGTGTGCAAGAGGCAGCTATCGATGATTCTAACTATCTCTTTCCCTTTCTCTCTGTAAAAAATCAATAAAATATATTTTTAAAAATAATAAAAATAAAAATATATTTTAAAAAATCAATCAATCAATGCATAAATAAGTGGAACAACAATGTTTCTTTCTCCCTTCCTCTCTAAAATTAATAAATTAAAAAGATTTATTATGAATCTTTACAAATACACAGAAAAAGAGACAGAATGACATGTAAGTTACTTGAATCCAATACAAATATTTCGGCTTTCTTTTTTTCCTACAGTATTTTAAAGTAGGTGCAGACATCAATGACATTAACCTCTAAATATTTCACTGAGCTACAAAATTTAAGAACAATTTTCCCACATAACCACAAGAACCTTGTCATAACAGCGCTATGTGCTTTTTGGCTGAAGTGTTTTAAAGTAGATTAGAGACATTATTTCAAGCTCAAATATTTCAACATTCGTCTCTAACTGATAACACACTTCCCCACATCATTACGCCACCGCTGTCCCTCCTAACAACACTAACCAAAATCCAGAATTATCTAGTAACCAGCCACGAATTCCCCTATCAAGTCAAGTTTTAATCTCGGGGTGGGGTTCCTCGCCCGCGATCCCAGAGAAGGAAGTGGGGGGCCTGGGATTTGCAGCCCAGCGGTCCGGTCCGGTCCGGACACAGCTGTGACCAAGGCCGTGAGTCAGAGCAGAGCCGGCCCCCTGCTCCGCAGGCCCCGCCCTGGGGGAGGAAGCTGGGGGGGGGGGGTGGAGAAAGGGGGCAGAGGGAAGGAGGGGGCGCCCACGCATCCAGAGCTGACTTGCTCTTTCGTCAAACGTCTGGGAGGAGCCCCAGGGTTGACAAAACTGCCCCCTTCCCGGGGCCAGACCCAGAGGTGCAGAGAGGCCGCGCACGGAGCCGCTGCCTGACATGGGCGTCCGGGGAATGCTGCCGCTGCTGCTGCTGCTGTGGGTTCCAGCCTGCATTCCAGGTAGGGCCGCCCGGCACCCGCTCTGGGAACCGACTCTGAGGGTGAGGGAGGGAGCGAGAGGAGGGGGACTCCAAGTCTGGAGAGTTGGAGAAGGAGGAGGAGAGGGGGAGGAGGAGGAGGAGGAGGAGGAGGAGGAGGAGGAGAGCTCAGTCCACAGTCCCTGCATTGAAACAATGGTTCTCCTATCTGCAGCCCCACAGGGCACAGGACCTCCTAGCTCACAGTATGTCTTAGGAAATCCTAAGCGGGGCATTGAGCGGAGGCATTTAGCAACAGCCGCCTTTCAGTGAGTCCTCTTCTAAGCTCTTTCCTTGCCATTTCAAACCGGGAGGGCGGAGTTATATTTTAACTTTTTACTACACAGAAGGAAACCGAGGCAGAGAGGGGTTAAGTAACGGGTCTGAGGTCACACAGCCAGGTCTGATCCCCGCAGGGCCGTCCCACTGCTCTCTCCACTGTCACACACACACACACACACACACACACACACGGAGGGCCGAGCATTTGGCACTCGGTCCACCAAGGGTCAAGGCCGGGCGTCAGGGAGGCAGAGGCTGGGGACTAGGGCTTGCCTTCGGAGGACCCTCTCACCTGCTTTCCCCGGGAAATGTAGGGGAAAGGGTAGGAAATAGAGAAGGAACTGAGTCAGAGCGAGGTGGGAGGGGGGCTCTTTGGGGTTGAGGAGTATTTTGTGAATGAATAACCCGGAAAGCTCTCCCGGCCGGTGAATGAGTAATGACTCTGGAGGACTCCGAATTTGGGGTGGCGGGCACGGACCATATGTCAGGCCTGGAGGGCGGAGAATAGCCGGGCTGGCCCGAGGAGCTATTGGGCGGGGAGGGAGCCTGGGGGCGGGGCTAGTGGGCGGGAGATAGCCTGGGGGCGGGGCTAGAGGGCGGGGAGGGAGCCTGGGGGCGGGGTTAGTGGGCGGGGAGAGAGCCTGGGGGCGGAGCTAGTGGGCGGGAGAGAGCCTGGGGGCGGGGCTAATGGGCGGGAGAGAGCCTGGGGGCGGGGCTAGCGGGCGGGGAGGGAGTCTAGGGGCGGGGCTAGTGGGCGGGAGATAGCCTGGGGGCGGGGCTAGTGACGGGGAGAGAACCGCGGCGGTACGGGGCTCGCCAAGGCGGAGTGGGGGATGAATCTCGGGGGGCTGAAGCGCGGAGTTAGAACTTCAGAGCGGACTGATGGGCGGGAGGGAATGTCGGGGCAGACTTCGGAGTGGGTAGAACCTGGGGAAGTTCGGAGGGGGACGGAGTTAGAACGTTAAGATCCTCGGGGTCGGTGAGGATGGATGGCCCCGGGGGAGCTGGCGGCGTGGACCGAGGGTCGGCGGGATGGACTCAGAGCGAGGCGACAGGACTTTCAGGATGGGCCGCACGCAGACAGATTCCAAGAGGAAGTTAGCGAGGGCCAGGCGTCAGGGAAGGACGTGTGTGTGTGTGTGTGTGTGTGTGTGTGTGTGTGTGTTGGGGGTGGGGTGTGTGCGTGTGTGTGTGTGTGTGTGTGTGTGTGTGTGTGTGTTGGTGGTGGTGTGTGTGTGTGTGTGTGTGTGTTGGGGGTGGGGTGTGTGCGTGTGTGTGTGTGTGTGTGTGTGTGTGTGTTGGTGGTGGTGTGTGTGTGTGTGTGTGTGTGTGTTGGGGGTGGGGTGTGTGTGTGTGTGTGTGGTGGGGGTGGGGGGGTAGAATCCTAGGAAAGGGGTGCGTAGGTAGAATATTGGGAGAGACAGACTAGGAGAGCCCTGGCGGGGATCCAGCTCCAGAGCCCAGAGGATGGGAGGACGGGGCTCAAACCTGTGCGCACAGGGCTCGGAGACTGGGTCCTGGTGCTGGGACCTCAGGGGGCGGGAGGGGGTCGCGCAGAGCTGTGATAACCTCCCCTGTGGTCCCCGCCTCTCCCCACAGCCGCCTGGGGCCTGCGGTGCATGCGGTGTGAGCGGACCGGGAGCTGCCAGGTGCAGGAGTGCGCGCCCGGCCAGGACCTCTGCAGGACCACGATCCTGAGCATCTGGGAAGGTAAGCCTCCCCCTCTACACACACACACACGCACACACACGCACACACACACGCACACGCACGCACGCACGCACACTCCAGCGCGTGACCAGGAAGCCTGGCTCACCAACTATGGGGAAATGCAAAGGAAAAGACCAGGAGACCGTTTCAGCCCAGCAGATTGGCAGGCGTTGAAACCCCTGCGTGGAGCCGCAGACCCTGGTCTCCCTCACACAGCGATGTGGCAATCAGTACCTGGTGTAGACAGAGAGCAGCAGGCCCAGCAGCCAGCATTCCAACTCCCGAGCACATAGGAACACTCAGAGCCCAAGGACATGTGTGTAAGAATGTCCTGAGCAGCGACGTTGGCGATACGGAAAAACTGGAAACACCCTGAAGTCACTTGGCAGCGGAGAACAAAACTATGACGTAATCACAGAATAAAATACCCCACGGCTGTTCAAAGCAGAAGCCAGAACTGCGGGTATTCACACGGATACACCTAAAACATATAAGGTGGACAGGAGGGGGGGGGGGGAAGCATGCTGCAGAGTGATACCTTGAAATATAAAGTGTTAAACAGTGTGTGAAGCAGCAGTGTAAGAATCACCTTCACCGGTGGATGGCTCTGGGCAGGGCACAGGGGAATGTGATTCGGGGGTGGGGTGAGAGGGAGTGGGGTACCAAAAGTTTTCACTGTATCTTTTAAGGTTAGTTTATTTTTTTTCCCAAAATACTGGTATCCATAAGTCACAGTGTTTGTTTTTTGTTTGTTTTTAATATATTTTATTGATTTTTTTTTACAGAGAGGAAGGGAAAGGGATAGAGCTAGAAACATCGATGAGAGAGAAACATCCATCAGCTGCCTCTTGCACACACCCCCACTAGGGATGTGCCCACCGCCAAGGTGCATGCCCTTGACCGGAATTGAACCTGGGACCCTTGAGTCTGCAGGCTGACACTCTGTCCCACTGAGCCAAACCGGTTAGGGCAGTTTATTTTATTTTTTTTAATATCTGAAATAAATGTAACAAAGTGTTTCATAGTTCATAAAATTGGATGATGAATACACAGTATATATATATCATCATCTTATCCTTTTGGGCTAAGCTTAAAGCATTTTCCCTTAGAAATTTTTTTTTAAATATATTTTATTGATTTTTTACAGAGAGGAAGAGAGATAGAGAGTTAGAAACATCGATGAGAAAGAAACATGGATCAGCTGCCTCTTGCACGCCCCCTACTGGCACATGCCCTTGACCAGAATTGAACCTGGGACCTTTCAGTCAGCAGGCTGACGCTCTCTCCACTGAGCCAAACTGGTTTCGGCTACCTTAAAATTTCCTAGTAGAGGCATCTCCCTGCTGGTTGCTAAGTTGGGAGAGAGAGGAAGATGGAGCGAGAAGGTCCCAGTGATAGTGCTGTCACTGAGACAGTAGGGTGTACGTGTGAGGGGTGTAGAGAGGGGACGATTCTAGAAGAGACAGAGTTGGACCCAGATAAGAACAGAGGCCTGAGGATCAGCCACGGGCGTGGCTACCTTAAGACCAGGTGTGTTCGAGGCTGGCTGAGCCAGAGGGGCCTCCGGGGTAACAGGATCCATTCCCCGCAGAAGGTGCAGAGCTGGAGGTGGTGGAGACAGACTGTGCCCATCCGGAGAAAACCAACAGAACCATGAGCCATCGGGTCGGCATGCAGGTCATCACCCTGACGGAGACCGTGTGTGGGTTTGATCTGTGCAACCGGCCCAGCCCCGGTGAGTAGGCCAGCCCTGGCCATGCCCAACCCCAAACTGTCTCCAGCACCACCCCATAGTCATCCCGATCCTGTGCCACCCCGACCCCCAACTCGGTGCCTCACCCAAGACCAACCCCAGCTCAACCTCGCCTCCAGTCTCATCTCCACATTCACTTCACCTCTGACACCCTCCGACTCAGATTCAGCCTGTTCCACACACATCTCTCACCCCACCCCTAAATCAGCCCATCGCGTCTCAAACTACCACCATTCCCACCCACAGACTCATCCCCTTCCCTGACTCTGTCCTATCCCATACATGTTTGTGGGTTCGTTTGTTTTTTATCGTTTAAAGGATTACATATGTCTTCTTTTCCCCCACGTGACTCCCTCCCGCCCCGCGCATGTTTGTTTATGGTTGTTAAAGTATAAGATGCATGCCGAAACCGGTTTGGCTCAGTGGATAGAGCGTCGGCCTGCGGACTCAAGGTCCCAGGTTCGATTCCGGTCAAGGGCATGTACCTTGGTTGAGGGCACATCCCCAGTGGGGGGTGTGCAAGAGGCAGCTGATCGATGTTTCTCTCTCATCGATGTTTCTAACTCTCTATCCCTCTCCCTTCCTCTCTATAAAAATATCAATATTATATATATATATATATATATATATATATATATATATATATATATATATATATATATTTTTTTTTTTTTTTTTTAAGTATAAGATGCACACCTACTCTTACAAAGCTACACACACGTACACTCAAGAGGTGGATGAGGGATCTCACTGGAGATTGTCACCTAACCTTTCCCGCGGGACAGGAGATGGCTTGGGCAATAGGTCACAGGGTCAGGGATACAAAGGCCAGAGATACCAGAGGCTCAACATTCTTTTTTTTTTTTTTAATATATATTATTGATTTTTTTACAGAGAGGAAGGGAGAGAGATAGAGAGCTAGAAACGTCGATGAGAGAGAAACACAGACCAGCTGCCTCTTGCACACCCCCTACCAGGGATGTGCCCGCAACCAATGTACATGCCCCTGACCGGAATCGAAACTAAGACCTTTCAGTCCGCAGACCAACGCTCTATCCACTGAGCCAAATCGGTTTCGGCAGAGGCTCAACCTTCTTAAGGGAAGTCCAGGAGGAGGGTCCCAGGCCACAGTGTGCTCGGAAAGTTCCCCAGCATAGACGCTCCTTGGCTGTCACAGCAGAAAAGGATGTGAAGAAACTTGTGTTGAGTCCCGTGGCTTCAGGCTCCGGTCAGTTTATGAAAAAGACTTAGAAAGATTCCAATTGCCCGCATTTCCACAGGAGACAAAGGAGGAGGAGGAATGAGGGCAGGCAGAGATTCATTTTTTCTGGCCCTCAAGAGGAAGGAAATTGATTAAGGCCAGTCCAGTCACAATGCCATTCATAAGCAGAGAGCCTGTGTTTGTATTTTTTTTTTTCCTTCTTTAAAAATAGGTTTTTATTGATTTCAGAGAGAGGAAGGGAGAGGGAGAAGGGGATAGAAACATCAATGATGGGAGAGAATCAGTGATTGGCTGTCTCCTGCACACCCACATTGGGGATCCAGCCCACAATCCGGGCATGTGCCCTTGACGGGGAATTAATTCTTGACCTCCTGAGCCACACTGTCCAGGCTGTACCGGGTTTTCCTTATTCTTCATCCATCCTGACCTCAAACTTGTATCTGTTGGTGGGAACTGTATCAGATGTTCATTTTCAAGGGAATGACGAGAGAGATGACGCCAGCTTCCTCTGTGGTTAGAGGAAAATGCTAATAATTGGGTCCAAGTAATGCTTCCAATGAGAGATGATATTCCAAATATTCAATAGTATCGATCAGCGCTGAAGGCATCGATCCATTGGAAGAGGCCCCTGGAGGCCCCCTGCTGGGTCTGGAGTTGCTCCTTGAGCTGGTGGATCTGGGGACGGGAGGATTCTAAAGAAAGGGTGGAGGTGATCAGGGAGCTTGGAGCAACAGCTGCCAATTCGGTAATTTAAACACTGACACGCCCCATTTCTAATGCCATCTTACCCCGCTGTGGGGACTAGAGAGCTGGTTACGCCACATCCTGTCCGTGAGTGACACTGGACGCAGCTGTGACCCACGGAGTTCACTGTCCAGGGGACCAGGGAGACCCATCGCCAGACAGGGACCGCCAGAGTATCGGAGCTGGGAGGGGGAGCACGAGCAGAGGATGAGAACCGTGGGGAAGCACAGCCCAGAACTGCCAGGGCTGAGCGGGGGTCAGAGAGGTCAGGGCTGAGCGTGGGGAGCAGAGAGGTCAGGGCCGGGATAAATGGAGAGTAGGGCTGTGGGACCCTGGAGGAGATATGAGACCAGGGCAGGGAAGGTTTCCTACAGGAGCAACAGCTAAGCTGGGTCTTGAGGGATGAGAGGAGTGAGACTGTTAAAAACACAGTGGAGCCCTAGCTGGTGCGGCTCAGTGAACAGAGCTACGACCTGGGTCAAGGTCACATGCCCTGGTTTCGGGCTCGGTCCTCAGTAGTGGGTGTGCAGGAGGCAGCCGATCAATGATTCTCTCTCTCTCCCCCCTCTCTCTTCCTCTCTGAAATCAATAAAAATAATTAATAAAGAAAACCCTAAAAAATAAAATACAAAGACAGTGGAAAGGGTTTCCCAGGCAAAGGGGGCAATAGATACAAAGGCCCAGAGGTGGGTGGGAATAGTGTGACTGGAGGAAAGGGTGACATGGGGCGAGAGGAGCTGGTGGAATTGGCTGCATCTTATTACACAGGTTCTCCAGGCTGCCGGGAGGAATATAGACTTCACCCTGGGAATGGGGGGAGGTCGTGTGGAGGGGTGAGGTGATGGAGGGGTGCGGTGATGGAGGGGTGCGGTGATGGAGGGGTGAGGTGATGGAGGGGTGAGGTGATGGAGGGGTGAGGTGATGGAGGGGTGCGGTGATGGAGGGGTGCGGTGATGGAGGGGTGAGGTAATGGAGGGGTGCGGTGATGGAGGGGTGCGGTGATGGAGGGGTGAGGTGATGGAGGGGTGCGGTGATGGAGGGGTGCGGTGATAGAGGGGTGCGGTGATGGAGGGGTGAGGTGATGGAGGGGTGCGGTGATGGAGGGGTGCGGTGATGGAGGGGTGAGGTGATGGAGGGGTGAGGTGATGGAGGGGTGAGGTGATGGAGGGGTGAGGTGATAGAGGGGTGCGGTGATGGAGGGGTGAGGTGATGGAGGGGTGCGGTGATGGAGGGGTGAGGTGATGGAGGGGTGAGGTGATGGAGGGGTGCAGTGATAGAGGGGTGCAGTGATGGAGGGGTGCGGTGATGGAGGGGTGCAGTGATGGAGGGATGGAGGGATGTGATGATGGAAGCATGCAGTGATGGAAGCATGCAGTGATGAAGGGGAGATAGGGAATGGGAGACCAACATGGGTGTTTGAGGTTGTCCAGGTGAAGATGAAGGTGGCTGGTTAGAGTGTCAGCCCTGCAGACAGAGAGACGTGGGTGGAGTTTGGAGCTATTTACCAGCAGATGAGCAAGCTTTGGCGGCAGGTTAGGCATGGCAGTGGTGTGGTACTTCTGGTCACGATGGAGTCGATTGTATAAGACTAACCCCCTGCCAATGACCGCTGTGGAAGCTGGACGGATTATAAACAGTCACTGGAAGGCACTGACGGGCCGCAGATGAAGAGAGAAGCAGAGGTGCTATCTTTGAAAGAGGGAAGCGCAGCCGTTGGTTCCGCAGACAAGCTGGGCTTTTCCTGAGAGCGCTTTCCACCTGGCTCCTGTGGGGGAGAAGCGGAAGCGGAGAGAGGTCGTCGCCGGGCCAAGAAGACAGACGTGGCGTCTGGGGCTGTCCGTGTCTAGGAAATGAGAGGGAAAAGCCGGAGGAGGGAATCCTGAAACCTGCAGGCGACTTCCTTCGGTCCCTGGCAAGCTGTGCGTGCACGAGGGGAGACGCCGAGGAACTCGGTGGGAAATAGCATCCGGGGAGCTCAGACCCCAGCAAGGACTCCAGCAGGCATAGGATGCTGACAGACCCAAGGCGCCACGTTGGCAAGAAGGGCCTTGGTAACCACCTCAGGCTTTTCTCTGAGGCCACAGCCTGGGAGCAGGGACAACACGGAAATAGACCGACCCCAAAAACACCTCCGTCCCACCGTCACCAGGAAGAAGGCCTGGCTCTCTTCGGAAGAAGATACATCACTCTGAGCCTTTACAAATGTTCTTCTACAAAGTCTGGCATCTGATCAAAACTTTCAAGGTAGCTTGAAGAAAATGAAAAGGGCCAATGGACCGGAACCCAGGAGGAAAATCCCACAATAGAAACAGAATCGTCATTATGCAGATACTGGAGTTATTACACATGTGGGACCTTACAATAGCTACGATGAATAGAGTGACGAAAATAGAGGAAAGGATACGTCTTAGCAGCAATCTGAGCCGGTTTGGCTCAGTAGATAGAGCATCGGCCGGCAGACTGAATAAAGGGTCTCAGGTTTGATTCGGTCAAGGGCACATACCTCCGTTGCAGGCTGGGTCCCCATCCCAGGTCAGGGCCCATGTGGGAGGCAACCAATCAATGTGTCTGTCACATCAATTGCCTCCCACATGGTCTCTCTCTCTGTCTCTCTCCCTCCCTTCCGCTCTCAGTAAAAAAATCAATGGGAAAATATCCTCAGGTGAGGATTAACAAACCAACAAAATGTAAAAGAGCCCTAGATGGTTTAGCTCAGTGGGTAGTGTTGGCCTCTGGACTGAAGAGTCCCGGGTTCGATTCTGGTGAAGGGCACATGTCCAAGTTGCGGGCTCAATCCCCAATAGGGGGTGTGCAGGAGGCAGCTGATCAATGAGTCTCTCTCACCATTGATGTATGTTTCTCCCTCTCCCTCTCCCTCTCCCTCTCCCTCTCCCTTTCCCTCTCCCTCTCCCTTTCCCTCTCCCTCTCCCCTTTCCTCTCTGAAATCAATAAGATATACCCTGTTTCCCCGAAAATAAGACAGTGTCTTATATTAATTTTTTTCTCCCAAAGTTGCGCTAGGTCTTATTTTCAGGGGATGTCTTATCTTTCCATGTGCTAGTTCTTATTTTTGGAGGATGTCTTATTTTCGGGGAAACACGGGTATTTTTTAAAAATGTAAAAGGGTCAAACAGTAAATATAGAACAGTGACTGAAATTAAGAACTCAGTAGATGTGTTTAATAGATCAGAAATAGCAGAGCAGCCCTCACAGGTTTGGCTCAGTGAGTAGAGTGTTGGCCTGTGTACTAAAGGGTCCCAGGTTCGATTCTGGTCAAGGGCATGTACCTTGGTTGTGGGCATATCCCCAGTAGGGGGCGTGCAGAAGTCAGCTGATTGGTGTTTCTCTCTCATCAATGTTTCTAACTCTCTATCCCTCTCCCTTCCTCTCTGTAAGAAATCAATAAAATATATATATTTTTTAAAAGAAGAAGAAAGAAAGAAAGAAAGAAAGAAAGAAAGAAAGAAAGAAAGAAAGAAAGAAAGAAAGAAAGAAAGAAAGAAAGAAAGAAAGAAAGATCTTTCTAGGGCCATGGGGGGATGGCTGGGGTTGGGGTGGCAACGATGGACACCGGGAGGCCAGGGAGGAACTGGTATGAAGGAGGCCTGAGCTGGCCTGGTCGTGGGGCTGGGAAGGGGGAATGGGTTCCAGAAAGACTCAGAGTGGACAGGGTTTGACGACTGCCCGGCATGGGATAAGGAGGGGGTGGTGCTGAGGTGACCCTTCAAGGGAGCCGGACCACAGGCCTCGCCCCATGGACTCACCCTCCTGCTCCCCCCCCCCCCCAGGCCGGGCTCCCGCCTTCCCCCGAAGCCGGAGCCGCTACCTCGAATGCTTCTCCTGCGCCTCTTCAGACCTGAGCTGCGAGCGGGGCCGGGACAAGAGCCTGCAGTGCCGCAGCCCCAGCGAGCAGTGCCTGGAGATGGTGACCCACCGGGACCCGGCAGGTGAGCCCCCTCTGCAGCCGCTCCCCCCGCCTCGCTCCTTCCCATGCTGCCCTAACCCCCGCATCACCGGGGCCTAAGCCAGGCGGAGGGTCAGTGCTCCCACACACAGAGGCCCGGGCCGGGCATCCGGGCCACAGCGCAGCTCACGTCAGCAGGAACCCAGATGCCGCCATTCTCCGCATCGCCTCCCAGCCCAAAACGGCTGCGGAGTCCCGGGCCTGGGGTCCACGTTCCAGGGAGAGGGAAGGGGAGCCCTGAGGGAGGGCCCCGTTGGTTGAGCCCTGTCCCATGCACCGAAAGGTTGCCAGTTCGATTCCCAGTCAGGGCACACACAGGGCTTGCGAGTTTGATACCCAGCCGAGGAGCATATCTGGTCAAGATTTCTCTCTCACATCGATGTTTCTCTCTCTCTCTCTCTCCCTTCCTCTCTCTAAGCATGTCTTTGGGTGAGGGTTTAAAAAAAAAAATACACAGCCGAAACCGGTTTGGCTCAGTGGTAGAGCGTCAGTCTGCGGACTGAAAGGTTCCGGGTTCGATTCCGGTCAAGGGCATGTACATTGGTTGCGGGCACATCCCCGGTAGGGGGTGTGCAAGAGGCAGCTGGTCGATGTTTCTCTCTCATCGACGTTTCTAGCTCTCTATCTCTCTCCCTTCCTCTCTGTAAAAAATCAATAAAATATATTTTTAAAAAATACACACAAAAAAAAACAAGGAAGGTGAAAAGAAGGGGCACCTCTCATTTTGTAAGGGTTCTTTTTTCTGGACATCCCACAAGCCAGTGGTCGGCAAACTGCGGCTCGCGAGCCACATGCAGCTCTTTGGCCCCTTGAGCTCTTAGCGAAGGCCAGCTTAGGAGTACCGTAATTAAGTTAGTAACAATGTACCTACCTCTATAGTTTAAGTTTAAAAAATTTGGCTCTCAAAAGAAACTTCAACCATTGTCCTGTTGATATTTGGCTCCGTTGACTCAGGAGTTTGCCTACCCCTGCCATACACCTTCCTACTTATACGGCACTAGCCGGAACTTAGCCACCATGACTGCAGACCCTGAGGCTGGGAAATGTGTCTCTGGCTGGATCTATGCTGCCCCAGAGGGAAGGAGGCCCCTCTAGGGAAGGTGGAGCAGAGAACGGGCAGGCAGCTGCCGCGGGGGCCATCCAGCTCAGCCTTCCTGCACACGCTGACCTGTCCTCCGCCCCACAGGGGGCCCAGGGGACGAGCGCCACTCCCGAGGCTGCGGCCACCTCCCGGGCTGCCCCGGCCCCACCGGCTTCCACAACAACCTCACCTTCCACTTCCTGCGCTGCTGCAACACCACCAAATGCAACGGGGGCCCAGGTGAGGGGCGGGGCCGGGGAGGGGCGGGGCTGTGTAAGGGGCGGGGCCAGGTAAGGGGCGGGCCGGGCAAGGAGCGGAGCCAGGTGAGGGGCGGGGCCGGGTGAGGGGCGGGGCTGTGTCAGGGGCGGGGCCGGGTGAGGGGCGGGGCTGTGTCAGGGGCGGGGCTGTATCAGGGGCAGGGCCGTGTAGGGGCGGGGCCCGGTGGGCCCGGGGTCTGGGCGGGAGGGCCCTCCAGGACACGGCGCTCTCCTGCGGGCTCACACCTCCACTCCAGGTCCCTGTTTGTCCCTCTGAAAGGCAGACGTAGCAAGTCCCTCCTCAAAGGAGGATTCTGTGGGAATGCAATGAGTCTCCCCCACCTTCACCGAGCCCCACGGGCGACGCTTCCTACATCCTCTTGAGTCCTTCCACTGCCCCCCTGCCCCGGTGCGAGCCACCACGGCCTCTCGCTTAGGTTGTTGCAATGACCTCCTCTCTGGTCCCCAAGGTTCAACACAGCAGCAAGAGGGATTGTGTGTGTGTTTTAATGTAAATGCGATCCGGTCGCTCTCCGTCCTCAAGCTCTTTAACTTCCCTTGCTCTTAGGGTAAAGCCAGAGGCCATGCTGTGCCCTAGGTAATGCCTCACCCCTGCCTCCTGGTCTGGATTTAGTTCTGCCACTGCCCAGCGCCGCCCTGCCTCGGGGCCTTTGCACACGCAGTGCCCTCCGCCAGGAACACTCTCCCTCAGGAGCTCGCCTGACTGGCCGTTTCTCACTGGGGTCTCCGCTTAAGTATCATCCTCAGTGAGGTGCCAGGCCCCTCCCCTTCAGTACGATCTGAGCCCATGTGTTCCTCTGTCTGTGAGACAGGACTGTCGGACAGTCCTCTGCCGTGCATGGGGCCGCCACTGCCGCCAATGGCTTTGGAGTGCTTGCCACGTGAACTGAATTTTGAATTTTATGTCATTGCTAGAGGCCCGGTGCACAACATGTGTGCACTGGGGATTGGAGGGGGGCGGTTCCCCAGCCTGGCCTGTGCCCTCTCACAGTGTGGGAGCCCCGAGATCGATCTCCCACCCACCTGGGGCTCCTCAATGGATTGCCCCAAAGAGGGAGGTCGGAGCTAGGGGTACTGGCCCTGGCATGGCCCTGTGGAGCCATCAAGTCCCCACCCACCCACACATGCCCACTGCGCACACAGCTTCCTGGTGATGGATTGTTACGGCGTGAGGACCACGCAGGCTTTTATTAGTATAGATTATTAATTCATTCCGATGTAGATGCAACCGCATATGGCTAGTGACTACCGCGTGGACAGTGTCACTCCAAACTGTACGTTCTGTGAGAGTAGGGACTGTTTGGGCTTACCCAGATGCTCACCCAGAGCCTGGTCTGACAGGGGCTCATGGGGTCCTGAGAGCTGGGATTTCTCCCACAGGCCCCAGAGAACCCCCAAAAGAGAGTGCGGTTCCAATGTCTGCCACAAGAGGGCGCCGTGCCACCTCAGGCTGAGCGCTGGGAGTCCAGGCAGGCCGGCAGGAGGACGCGGCTCCCTGCACCCTAACCCTGTTTTAATGACCCTGGTCTCTTCTCCCAAGTCGTGGAGCTTGAAAACCTGCCGCTGAACGGCCTGCAGTGTTACAGCTGTCAGGGGAACGGCACCGACGGATGTTCCCCCGAGGAGACCTCCCTCACCGCCTGCCGAGGCCCCATGGACCAGTGTCTGGAAGCCACAGGCACCGATGGTGAGGCCTCTGGGGGTGGGGAGGGGGTCTGTAAGGGGAACAGTTTGACTGGACTTGGTGGATGGAAGTGGGTCTGCTATGGGGCTCCCTGCAGCAGGGTGCAGATGGTAGTAAGGGATTGGGACTTGCCCAGTAGGGAATGTGGACCGTTTTGGGGGTGGGACTTCCTGCCAGCTTCCCGGGCTTCCATCGGTGACGTCCTGGAAAGGCCTCTGTCCCAGGAGTCCCCAGACTTTCTGGTCTCAAGATCCCTTTGCGCTCCTAAGAGGTATTGTTTCCATCCGTTCTATCGATCAGATATTAACTGCGTTATAAATGGAGAGAGGCATTTTTACCAGGTGTACTTAGTAATGTATTTTAAGATAACAATTAAAAGCCCATTCCACATGAACATATATATATATATTTTAATATATTTTATTGATTTTTTTACAGAGAAGAAGGGAGAGGGATAGAGAGTTAGAAACATCGATGAAAGAGAAACATCGACCAGCTGCCTCTTGCACACCCCCAACTGGGGATGTGCCCGCAACCAATGTACATGCCCTTTGACCGGAATCGAACCTGGGACCTTTCAGTCCACAGACCGACGCTCTACCACTGAGCCAAACCGGTTTTGGCATATTATTTTTTAATATATTTTATTGATTTTTTTACAGAGAGAAAGGGAGAGGGATAGAGAGTTAGAAACATCGATGAGAGAGAAACATCGACCAGCTGCCTCCTGCACACCCCCAACTGGGGATGTGCCCGCAATCAAGGCCCACGCCCTTGACCGGAATCGAACCTGGGACCTCTCAGTCCGCAGGCCGATGCTCTATCCACTGAGCCAAACCGGTTTCGGCCGTGAACATATTTTTATGGAAAGGAGAAGACTACATTTTCCAAAATGAAAAAAAAAAAAAAAATATGTAGCCAGAAGACTGGCATTATTCTACGCTTTTGCAAACCTCGTCCCTGTCTGGCTTTAATGGCAGACAGCTGGGTCCTTGTAGCTGCTTCTGCATTCAGCCCGTTGCAAGATCACGTGTCCTGGTGGTTCTGGAAAACACCACTGCACGCTCCGGAGAGGAGAGCGGAAGAAGCCAGATGAGGCTTTGGCATGACTAGGAGAATGTCTGTAACGTCCCAGATCCCCAGCCCCACGCTCAGAACCTCTGCCCTTTCTGGCGGTGCCCACCACAAGGGGGCTCGTCCCCCTGGCAGCCCGGGCCCGGGAGCGGGAAGTCACCCCGTCTTCTCTCTCCTCAGGGCCAGGCCGCCCCGGCTACACCGTCAGAGGCTGTGCCACGGCCTCCTGGTGCCAGGGCCTCCACGTGGCCGAAGCCTTCAGACTGACGGACCTCAACGTCTCCTGCTGCGCCGGACACGGCTGCAACCACCCGGACCGAGACAGGCAGCCCCGCAGGGGGGGCGCCCCCCGGCCCGACCCTGCCCCCCTCAGCCTCGCCATCGCCCTGCTGGTGACGGCAAGACTATGGGGGGGCATGCTCCTCCGGACCTGACCCCCACCCCACGCTCGCCCCGCCCTGGCTGGATCCGGGGGACCCCTCGCCCCTCCCTCAGCTCCCAGGCCTGCGGACTTGCTGTGTGACTTCAGGCCCGCGTGCTGCTTCCTCTGGGCCTCAGTGTCCCCAGCTGTGAAAACACCGCTCACAGGATTATGGGAAACAGAGGAGAAAGCTGGAGAAAGGCTGCGGGCCAGCAGGAGTTCTTGTTACTACTAATAGTGTGCCCCTTGTTGTTATTATTAATTAATATTTTTATTTAATATTTTATACTTTATATTAAAGATTTTTATACCAATGAACGGGGCCAGATCTGTCCTTCTCCATAGCATCTATCTCTCTTCCTCCCTTCCTTCCCTCCATCGTTCCTTTCTTTCTTCCTTTCTTTCTTTCCTTCTTCCTATATGTTTTTATTGATTTCAGAGAGGAAGGGAAAGGGAGAGAGAGATGGAAACATCAATGATGAGAGAGAATCATTGATCGGCTGCCTCCTACACGCCCCCTACTTAGGAATAGAGCTTGCAACCCAGGCTTGTGCCCCGACTTGGAATCGAACCTGTGACCTCCTGGTTCATAGGTCGATGATCAACCACTGAGCCACATTGGCTGAGAGCATCTATCTCTCAAAGATGCATGAGGGCCGAAACCAGTTTGGCTCAGCGGTAGAGCATCGGTCTTCGGATTGAAAGGTCCTGGGTTCGATTCCGGTCAAGGGCATGTACCTTGGTTGCAGGCACATCCCCAGTAGGGGGTGTGCAAGAGGCAGCTGATCCATGATTCTTTCTCATCGATGTTTCTCTCTATTCCTCTCTCTCCCTCTCTGTAAAAAACCAATAAAATATATATTTTTTAAAAAGATGCATGGGGGCACCCTTCCTCAGGCTCCTGGAAGTAGGGGTCACATGGTAGGACCCAGGTCGTCAAGGCCTCCGCTCTGGGAGCAGTCCCGAGGGGCTTTCGCCCTAAGTCACCTCCACATCTATTTCTGGGCTCCAAATGCAGACTTCTAACTCACCCACCTCAGCACGAACCTTCCCGTCTCTTCTCCCAAACGCCAAAGATCAACACTGCTTTGTTGTTCTGAGTAGGCATGTCCCGTTTCCCGCGGGCTCTGAGACAGGGGATGTATGGGGGACAGCCTGCCCGCCAGACTCCCTCCATGCACTGCAGTGAAGAACAAGACTAGGACTACATTTCCCCTGATGCTCTGGGGCCAGGGCATAAAGGCTGGCCCTATTTCCTGAGATACCCTCAGACTCACTGACAAAAAACATTTCAATGGTGTTCTGGGGGCACATGGCGGAAGAGATCACATTTCCCATGGTCCGCCAGGCAACCCCATAGAAACACATTACATGGGGCCCTGTGGCAAAGGAAGGAAAAGATCAGTCATCTTCCCTGGTGCTTGGGACTCAGTTTCCTTTTAGGACCCCCCCCAAAACACGTTTCCAACATCAAAGAGAGAGGAACATCAATTGGCTTAGGAGATGGGGTCTGTAACTACCTCTCTCTCTCTCTCTCTCTCTCTCTCTCTCTCTCTATATATATATATATATATATATATATATATATATTATTGATTTTTAACAGAGAGTAAGAGAGAGGGATAGAAAGTTAGAAACATTGATCAGCTGCCTCCTGCACACCCCTTACTGGTAAGGTGACCAGACGTCCCGCTTTTGGCGGGACAGTCCCGATTTTTAACAACTTGTCCCGAGTACAAATTGTTTTTTTTAAAAAAAGTCCCGATTTTTGGAAAGAATCTTTTAAATCTTTTGGACTTTTTTAAAACACCGGGGATGCGGGACAAATTGTTAAAAATCAGGATGTCTGATCACCTTACACTGGGGATGTGCCCGCAACCAACGTACATGCCCTTGACGGGGATCGAACCTGGGACCCTTCAGTCCGCAGGCCGAGGCTCTATCCACTGAGCCAAACCGGTTTCGGCTGTAACTCTACCTCTTGAGCACGAGTGGCTCTGTGACTGCTTTGACCCAGAGAATGTGGTGGGAGGGGCGCCGCCCCATGCCCTGGGCCCAGACTTTCGGGAGCCATCAGCTGCCTGTGAAACCCTCCTGCACTGAGCCTGCAGGACAGGCCGCCTGAGCTGCTGGTGCACAAAGCCATATGGAGAGGGAGCCACAGATGCTCCGTCCTCTCAGCCCGGGCCACACTCTCTCTCACACACACACACACACACACACACACACACACGCACGCACGCGCGCGTGAAGGAGCTGCTTGGACATCGCCCCCCAGCAGATGCCATGTGCAGGGCGAGCAGGAAGCCCAGCTGCTCCCACCGCCGCAGGCTGCTATCCACTCCTACAAACTGGCAAGGGGTGCTCCAACCACGGGAATCTGTTCTCCCAGGGTTCTGGCTGCTATGAGCCAAACTCCAGGGGCTGGCAGAGCCGCGTTCCTTCTAAAGTCTCTGGGTGCTGCCGACGATCCGAGATGCTCCTGGGTTTACAGCTTTCTCACCCCACCCTCTGCCTGTCGCCACACGACCTTCCTCTCTGTGAGAATGGCTGGGCGTCTCCAGATCTCCCCCTCTCCTTATAGGGACGCCAGCCACGGAATCAGGGGCCCACCCTAACCCAGTGTGACCTCTTCTTAATCACATATCAAAGACCCTATTTCCAAATAAGGTCACATTCATAGATCCTGAGAGTTAGGACTTCAACAAATATTTTTTTAAATATATTTTACTGATTTTTTACAAGGAGGAAGGGAGAGGGATAGAGAGTTAGAAACATCAAAGAGAGAGGAACATCAATCAGCTGCCTCTAGCACACCTCTACTGGGGATGTGCCCGCAACCAAGGTACATGCCCTTGACCGGAATTGAACCTGGGACCTTTCAGTCCGCAGACCGACGCTCTATCCACTGAGCCAAACCGGTTTCAGCTCCAACAAATATTTTGAGGGGACACATTCAACCTGCAACGCCAGTCAGTAGCCAGAACCAAGGATTCAATATATGGCCCCCGTGACCCATCCCCTCCATCTCCAGCTGTGCAGCCAGCCTGCATAGCCCCAGTCCCTGTGGGGCACGCACACGCTGCTCCTGCTGAGCCCTGCTGACATTCCTGACCCGCAGTCACAGGACGAAAAGGCTGCGGTTTGACACCACTGGGTTTGGGTTACGTCGTTACACTGCGGTGGTTAACGGGGTCAGTCACTTGTTTGCTTGTTTTGCTATAACATCCATAAAGGGCAAGGCCTTTTATTTGCTCTCTGCTGTCTAGACTAGTACCTAGACTAGTGCCTGGGACATGGCAGATGCTGGAAAAAGGGAGGAGACAAATGGAGGAAAGACAACATTGTCTATGCTATCAAAAACTGGGCATGGGCCGAAACCGGTTTGGCTCAGTGGTAGAACGTCGGTCTGCAGACTGAAAGGTCCCAAGTTCGATTCCAGTCAAGGGCATGTACATTGGTTGCGGGCACATCCCCGGTAGGGGGTGTGCAAGAGGCAGCTGGTCGGTGTTTCTCTCTCATCGATGTTTCTAGCTCTCTACCCCTCTCTCCTCCTCTCTGTAAAAAATCAACAAAATATATTTAAAAAAAAAAAACAAAAAACAAAAAAACTGGGCATGGGTTTTAGCCGGTTTGGCTCAGTGGATTGAGCATCGGCCTTCAGCCTGAAGGGTCCTGGGTTCGATTCTGGTCAAGGGCACATGTCCAGGTTGTGGGCTCGATCCCCGGTAAGGGGATGTGAAGGAGGCAGCCAATCAATGATTCTCTTATCTTTGATGTTTCTTTCTCTCTCTCCCTCTCCCTTCATTTCAGAAATCAATAAAAACAAAACAACAATAACAAAAACTGGGCATGGACTCCATCTCCCAAGATAACATTTTCTGAGATGCTCCATCATTAAAATTTTTTTAAAAATATATTTTATTGATTTTGTACAGAAAGAAGGGAGAGAGATAGAGAGTTAGAAACATCGATGAGAGAGAGTCATCGATCAGCTGCCTTTTGCACACCCCCTTCTGGGGATGTGCCCGCAACCAAGGTACATGCCCCTGACCGGAATCGAACCTAGGTCCCTTCAGTCCCCAAGCCGACGCTCTATCCATTGAGCCAAACCGGTCTCGGCTCCATCATTAAAATTGAGAATAACTTCACCTTTGCCATGATTCCCTCCAACAGAAATTGCAGACCTGCACCACATTTCCCAGGATGCCTTTCCACGGGAACTGAGGCTAGCACTGCATCTCCCGTGAGACCCAATGGCAGAGCCTGGAGTCTAGGATGGCATGGCCTGTGGTGCCCGTGGCAGATTTCGAGGCCAGGGATCCGTTTCTCCCCAGGTTCTGCACCAGAGCTGTGACCGGGACCTCGTGTGTTTTTTTTTCAGGGACCTCGCTTTCAAGAAGTAAAATCCAGGTAAGCTGACTTAAGCAAAAATGACAACGTTATTAGGAGTTTAGAATCCAGGCAAGCGCAGGTCCCTGAGCCTCACCAGGGACAAGAAGCAGGATGAAAAAGCAGTGTGTGAAATGACGGCTGTCTCCCTTTTGCAAAACCTCTCTGCTTCTCTCCTCTCTGCTTCTCTAAATGTGTGGCTTCCCTCATGGGCTTTTTCTTTCTCTCCACAGACTACCTTCTTTTTCTTCATACGTAGTAGCCAGGATGCCCTTGAAATGTCAAGTACCGCCCTAGCCAGTTTGGCTCAGTGGATAGAACGTCGGCCTGCAGAATGAGGGGTCCCAGATTTGAATCCAGCCAAGGGCACATGCCCGGGATATAGGCTCCTTTCCCAGTAGGGGGTGTGCAGGAGGCAGCTAATCAATGATTCTCATCATTGATGTTTCTATCTCTTTACCCCACTCCCTTCCTCTCTGAAATCAATAAAGAAATATATATTTAGCCAGGACCGGTTTGGCTCAGTAGATAGAGCGTCGGCCTGCGGACTGAAGGGTCCCAGGTTCGATTCCGGGCAAGGACATGTGCCTTGGTTGCGGGCACATCCCATTAGGGGCTGTG